GTAATACTTGAGGCATGACTATAAAACCAGATTTGGTTGGTTAAGTCCAAAATCTATGTTATACCTTAACTATCTCTTATTCATGCTTTTATTGAGTTAATGCATAGGCAGTAAAAGATATAAGTATAACCAAGAAGAACTATTAGCAAAGAAAAAAATAAAGAAATATGCGAAGAAAATGAGGAGGTGCAATAGTAAAATTTGAGAACTAAAGTAATAGTTCAAGAAAAATAGCAAAAAACACAAGCATCCATAGAACTTACAAACTTTGATACAAACAACTCATATAATCCTTCCAGATGCATAAGTTTTATTGGCACTTGGGTACCGATGCGATCTGCTTCAAATCTCCTAGTAAAAGTTGTTCCCATATTTTGGATACCGATATATGCTTTTCGAGATGGATCATGCACCGGTACAAAAGCTGGCCAAAAACTGCAGAGTGGACATAAACAAGAAATAGGTATTATTTAAGACACTCTAGAAATTAGCATGGTTATCCATTAACAAAATATCACAGGCTCATGTTAAGAGCAGGAAAAACAATAGGAAACAAACTGCAGCCATAAATTACTACAAGATTGTAATCTTAAGCGTTTATTAATCTACTGGATCATAAGAAGTTATTTTTTTTTCCAACACTTCACCAAGAGTTCTGCAAAAAAGAACATCAGAACTCCACCTGGAACAGTTTGTCAAAGCAATGGCAACTGCACTTAAAAGCTTGCTGGCCTCAGGTGAATCAAGAATCACACCACTGATACTTTGAGGAGCAATCACCTGGTGATATATGCATAAAATATCTATTAAGAAAAGTGAACTCGTTAATATTTCATACAAATTGCTAGATGTGAATTCAGACGTACCAAAAACTCTTGTACCCCAAAGCATAACTGTAATTCATGCAAGCTTAATTCCCAGTCGACGAGTTTGCCTGTCAAGTAGAAATCAAAAATCCATAACGATGGCTCTTCCATACATGAAACTTAACTTAAAAACTTTACAGAGAAATTCCCTAGTACCGTGATTGCTATTTCCAAAGTAGTATTCCATGGAATAGTTTTTATTATCACACTTTAGATCGTATTTAACCTTATATAGGTTAGTTGAGATTTCTAACTGGGTTGCACCCTTTTCCTGCAGACAAGTAGTACAAATAGAATGAAACTATTAAAAATAAAAATGATAAATAATTTTTTTATAATTAAAAAAAATACAGGAGAAAATAGCATGCAGTTATCGTATAGTACAAGAAGTGCCGGACGCGCGGTAAGAATAGCACACAAAATGCAACATGGTGGACAGAAATCTCATGAAAACTCATTTGAATACTCTGTTATATTATATTAACCATCATAATGAACAACAAAGTTAAGGGAGGAAAAAAAAAAGAATAACCTCCCGACTAGAACTAGGTTACCTTACACTTTCATTTGATTTCCTATTTTAAAAATTTATTTAAAAATTAAGAAAACCCTTCCATCTAAGGTGCAAAGAAGAAATTAAAGATGTACAGAATAATTATAATAATAACAAAATATGTATCCTAGGTGGCAAGAAAAAGAAGTGAAGCTTTTAAGCACGTTCAAGGAAGAACATTCTCTCCACCCCCAAATTCCCAATATCAAGATCCCCTAACCTGACCCGTCTGCAGGAAATTGAAACGTATTCTAGTATAATAATTTCAGAAAGATTGAAGATGGTGGAAATGCAAGTCCTATAGACGAAAATTACTTACCAACAAATTATTTGGACCATCAGCCATCCATTGTCGACAAACTGCCTCTATTTCAGAAATGAATCTTAAGAGAAGGTAAACATGAATTAGAACAAGTTCGAACCAATACACTTAAAAAGTGAGGTAAATTAAATCAATATCCTCTACTTTTATTTTGCAACTCGATATGTTATCCCATTGAGAAATTGTCCTCTATTGAAGCCAAGCTCTCTTGATAAGCAAAAAAAAAAGTCTTCAGTTCAAGTTGAAGGAGAGTTTACTCAAAAAGTTGAAAGAGCTTTAGTGCAGAGACCAGAAAGCTTCTACTTGTACATTTTTCCATAACCGAAATAGAAAAAAGTCTCAGCGATTTTAAAGTTCGGCTTATTTCCATCCGGACTTAAAACCTAATGAGCGGATAAACTCGATTCATTAAGATGTTAGAGAAGGTACCTTTCCCAAGACGACGCAATAGTAAAATCATCGAAGTGCTCAACCTGAACCAATGCCAAATCAACGGCTCAAATTCGACGTCAGTACATTCCTAAAGATAGTGACAAACTCCGGAGCGCCTCAAAAAAAATAATAATCGAAATACCGAAGCCAAATTGCCATGATCAAAAGCTATTGAGCGTGAAGAAAATTAAGCAGGAGCGTGTGGAGGCAATTTACGGAGTTTGATAGTGAAAAAGTTGGTGCAATAGAAGTTTACAGAGGAAGAGTAGAGAAAGAGATACCTCCTCGTCTTCCAGGGCTTCATCCTCTCCATTAGATTCAATATTGGTGGAGGACGCCATTAGAGATCTGACGAAGTAAAGCGCGGCTCAAATCATGCAAATTATATCAATGAATGCAGGATTTGTATGGATTTCTCATGCTTTGTTGCAATACGCCATTAAAGGTATGCTTCAGCTGAAAGAAGAGAATCTTCAGATAACCTCTCCCCTCGCCTCAAGCTTTTAGGAGAAACGAAAAGAAAATAAAATAAAATATGTATCTTTCTTAATCATCTAACTGCTTTCAAAATCATTGAATCTGCAGCTCCCTCGGTTTGGTCCTTGGATTGGACATATTTTTCAGGTAATTTCTTTTTTTTTTCTCTCTCTCTTTTTATTTTCTTTTGTTTTCCTTTTGTAAAATACTATTTGCTTTCCGCTTTGTTTCATTTTGTTACTGGATTTTCAGCTTAGCTTTTGTTTTTTTTTTTTTGCTTTCTAATTTTTTTATTTTAATTTTTTTACTTTCTAACTTTAGTTTATTTTTATTTTTATCTTCGTGTGCTTGATCATTTTAATTTCTATTTATAAAATTTTACGATAATTTCTACACATACGGAAGCCGTTTAATAGAAAGTTATTATTATATTTTAATAAATATATTAAGTAGTATCGTGTTAAAATTGTGATATAAAAAATGAGATTAAAAATATATTTAATAGATCAAAATTGTCACTTTTAAAAATAAAGGGAACAAAACGAACATTTTAAAAATATAATTACTAAAACGAACAAAAGTTAAAAATACAGAGACAAAATGAAAATTTTGAAAGTATATGAACCAAAATAAATTGAAGTTCAAAGTATAAAGATCAAAATAATATTTTAACATCATTTTTAGCAAATTTCAGGTCATTTGTTAATTTAATTTTCTGATTTATTTTTAACATAATATTATTTTGGTTTATTTGATTTTCTCGTTTATTTTGTTCAGATTTTAGACACCTATATCTAACTCATGAGTTCGAATCCCCACCCCACGATGTTATACTAAAAAATGAAAATAAAATTATATTTATGATTTAAATTTCTTCGATTATGTGTTTACTACTAGATTTTAATTGTAATATATTTGTAAGCTAACATGGTAACCTACTAATTGCTTGCTTAATCTAAAATATTAGTAATTAATTTAGAGGAAGTTAAAAAATAGTACCAAAAAAATATGTACTTGTATATATCAGGTTTAATATTTGGACAAAAATACATAAATTTTAAACAAGTAACGTTTACGGCATTTAAAAAGAACAAAAACAAAATAATGATATTTTTATAAATACATGTTTATTTTATGTCCTTTTTCCTCCATTTAACACGTATTTTATGAATTTTATATAATTATTTGTCTACCCATATAATTTATAATATTATGTTTCACGTATTTTAATTTTAACAAAAAATCAAATTAGTTTATAATATGAAAATAATGTATAAAGGTGATTTAAACCTGTAGGAAGAGTCGGACCCGGTATGCCAACACCTCAGTGAGAGACATCTTATTTCATTAATAGATGATTCTATGTTTTCATAGTTAAAATAATAAAATCTGAACAATAAGATGGGCATGAGGTCAAAATATAAACATTTCACTACCACATTGGATATGGGATAGAAATTCGAATATCTACCTAGAAACTCGAACATCTACATTTTAAGATAGATGTATAATCGATTTTGGACATCTAAACAATTAACACAGAGTGCCACAATAAAAATCCAATATTTTTCACATGTTTATAACGTCTAGATACTTATAACTCCTTAGAGAAAAAGATACAAATAATGAAAATAAGAGTTCTTTTTTTTTAAATGTTTATAAAGTAGAGTAGTGAAATAAATAGTCAAAATCACTCTCATTCTAAATTTAGGGAATATTTCCTTTTGGACATAAAAGGAATCTACAAACACTATGAATAATCACCCAAAAAAGAGAACGATAGTCTCGTCTCAAATAATATAGTACATATAAGCACCCAAGATCCAGAACTCCTGAAGAAAAATATTATTGAATGAGGGTGTCACAATGTGACTGTCTCATATTGACGGTTGGATACAGATTCAAAAATCTTTAGACCTTAATAACCATTACCTACAACAAAATTTGTAAAGCTTAAAATAGCTATTCACAAACTTTTAGAATTAGCATATGAGCAAGAGTTGCCATAGAGTTATTAAAAGACATGCACCAAATGTTCTCATTGTAAGCTTATTGTTTAGTAAGCACAAAAACAAGAATACAAAGATTTATGTTGAAAAACTACTCGATATAAAGGAAGAAAATCATTCGACATGCAACGCCGTAAAACTTTTACTATCACTCCAAAAGATTACACATTTTTACAGGTTGGAAATTAAAGTTGTTGGACCAATTCTTCATAATTTGTTCATCTTAGCTTTAGACCTAATCCTTCATATAATTAAACTTGTTTGACTGTGCAATGAAATATCTGTTTTAGAAAAACCAAAAATAATAATAATAATAATAATAAGAAAGAAGAAGAGAAAAATAGTTACAATTTTAATGGGAAATATACCATGCCAGTTTGTTAATCTAGTTACAGATTTTGAAGTATATTTAAATGTATTTTAACAATTTTCTCCTTAAAGTTCTCAATTCAATTTCTCATATTCAACCAGTAACCAGTCAACTGGCTTTAGTTGGGCTTTTACATTCCTGGTCGGCCCAATTGGTTTGAGGTGGGCTCGGAAACTTGACGAAGCCCAGGTGTTGGCATCCATTTGTACTCGACCATTTTATGATGGGCTGCTAAGTTGAACCGGCCCGGCCCATTTCCTCCCCCCGTTCTCTCTCCGTTGTCTGCTGCAGCCCAAGAAGCACATTAAAAAAAAAAAAAAATATCATAATGGAAAAGAAGAACAAGTAATATAGCAAAAATAGTTTTTTTCTTTACATTATAATAAAAATAATTTATCATGTTTATTGCCACTCACATTTATTTCACATTTAAAATAAAAGGTAGAAATTTGTACCTCTTATCTATAATCAAGGTTACTAAGACTTTGACTAAGATCATGGATCTCACATAATAAGATTACAAATTATTTTGGAACCAAATATTTATTTTCTGTGTGAAAGAGAGATTAATTACATGGACTATTTTTCTCCTTGTAGAAGAATTTCATACCATAGCATAAATTTAATATTTAAAAATAATGTCACAAACTTTACACTTTCTTCGAATATGAGGTACGTAATTAAGTGTCTGACAACCATCTTGCAAAAAAAAAAAGGTGTATGACAATTAAGTAGCATAATTTTCTAAAGTATAAAATCCCTATCCATTTGATCTTTTAAGTAAGTATTTAACTTAGTGAAAGTAAATTCTAGACATTTTGATTTCAATACACTTAATTTATCCTTCAGTGGGTGGTACGTTTGAAAGATTTTTTTTAGTACAACATGTGGAGTGGGGGATCGAATTCACAATCTCGTGGTTGGAGATATATGTTAATTACTACTAAGCTATGCTCGTTTTGACTGAAAGACCTCTTTTTCAATTTTGAATGAGGGGGTTAAATTATTAACTAAGTTTAGCCCTACAAGTAATTGTTTAGTCTCTAAAGGTGTGTTTATTTGGTGATTTGAAAACAAAAATTTGAAAATAAGATAGTTGAATGAAAAACAGTGTTGTATTCTATATTTTCAATGTTTTTAAATGTGTGTTTGGTACTATATTTGAAAACGAGTACCAACCAGATATATACTTAGATTCAATCTAAAATATTTTAATTTATTAATATAAATGTTATAAATTTTGTATAATTATTATTTTACAGTATATATAGTTTATAACATTAAAAAATATATTTATCAAAATATTTATATGTTTTAATGTAATTCAACATTTCAAAAGTTTTAAATTTAAAATTTGAAGACACTCAAAACATTCCAAACAAATTTGCTAGACAATATTCACTAAATCTAGTTAATCTTTTTTTATTATCCAAGAGTCAGCTGCTTTTGGCCTTTATGCCCCTATATGTGGAGGATATGCGCACTACTGTCCTATATCCATACATACACAAGGGGTCATTGTTTGGTGGAGTTGCATTCCGACCATGTGAAAGACCTCAAGGATATTCGTTGAGGCCCCAAGCCAGATGTGTATAAGAGACAGGTGTTTCTTGAGGTTGCATCTCCTTGAATTTTTGTATTTTAAAAAGTTTTGGATCAGTTCCTCGACGTACTAAATCTTTTAACTTTATGTGTCTAATAAACTTCTAATTCTTGATCCTGTCAATTTAAAATTCAGTATTTAATAAACTTCTATTCTTGATCCCGTCAATTTAATATACCAATGTCAGGTAACCATCGTGGGTGATTCATTGGTCTAAAGGGGCTAGAGTTTAATTAAGAGGGAATGAGTTCAAACTCCATGATGGTCACCTACTTTATAAATTAGTAATTCCTATGTGTTTCCCAACACCAAATGTTATAGAGTCAGGCGGTTGTCCCGTGAGACTAGTCAAAGGTGGCGTAAGCTGACTCGGACACTCACGAATAAATATATATATATATATATATATACATACACACCTATGTCAGATGTATCATTTAAGATAAATTGAGTGATACATGATGATTCAGAGTTTTTTAGGACGGTTGAGAGTGTGATCGAAGTGTCAACAATAAATTGACAGAGCTCGGGAGGCTAAGGTATTAGAATCTAAAGCTCGAAGAACCTATTAGAAACTTTTTAAAGCGGAAAATAGAGAAATAGAATTACCTTGGTTGGGATGGAGAGAGACCATGTTGTGGAAGTGAGATGGATGGAGATCATCAGGATATTGGTGCAGTTGGAAAGCAGTTTCCCAGCCGGCGGTGGCTTCATTTTGCTGCTTCAAGTGGAGTTCCCTCAGCCTGTTCACTTCAGCTCTGTTCTCTTCAATCTCAGCTGCACACTCCAAAAACATATTGAATCCAAACCCTAATTAACCTCAAAACCCTAAATCCACAAACCAATTATTTTACTCCAAATCTTCTATATAATTCTAATACAATCTCTCAACTTTTGCTGTTGCTAATATAGATTCTTAAACTTTCAATTTTGTATCTAATTATAGGTGTCTGATGCTTATTTGACATGTTTTTTTAAATCAACGAATTTATTAGACTTAATATATATATATATATATATATATATATATATTTTGATATCCGTGAGTGTTCGAGCTGCCAGTTTATGAACACTTCGACCAATCTCACGGGTCAATCATCTGACCCTACAATATTTAGTGCCATGAAACATATAGGAATTATTAATTTCTAAAGTAGGTGACCATCATCGAATTTGTGTCTCTAGTAGAATCTTAAACTTTCAATTTTGTGTCTGATATGTCTTTGTATTTTTAAAATTGTCAAATAGGTCAAATAATATATAGACACAAAATTAAAAGTTTAGAATTTATTAAACACAAAAAATTGAAAGATTAGGGATTCACGGGATTTATTAGACTAAACTTGGAATTTAAAATGTATGAAACTTAGGCCATTTTAATTAATTAGTTAAATTCAAACAAATGGATATTCAAAACGTCACCGTCTCTCAACAGCTTGTTCCTTGAGCAACTCAATATCTTCTGGTTCAACCTCTTTTGCTCCATCTGCAACACATGCTGCTGGTTCCTGTACAGTTCCACTTGAGGAGATAGAACAGCTATGTGTGCCTGTATTTTATTTTTATTTTTTTTATCATGTCAATATATTCTATCAATATTTGGAAAAAATTAAATTACTTTGAGTGAAAACGCTTCTTCTATAAACACTTTTGAAAGAAGCACGTTCGTGAAAGTTTTGAAAAGTATTAAACGTGTGAGAAGTACTTTTCAATACTCTTTCAAATGACATTTCAAACCCGGGAAGAAGTAGACGAATGTCAAAAATTTTGAAAATATTAGAAATGTGTCGTGGGATGAATTTACTTTTAGGTTTAAATACATTTCTATATTGATATATCAATTGATCGCCTTTAATTTTATTTCGATTGTCGTATCTTGTTTTGATCTAAACTTTCATAAAAGCTCTCGAATTAATGGTTCTTACCAGCAAAATTTCGAAAGTTAATGAGCCTAAACTTAATATTATTACGAGATCCGATGCATAATTTGAGTCTCAAAAGGCAAGTCGATTATCACTATATGCACTATATAACTATTTAACGGTTAAAGATTATTGACATCATTTTTAGCTAGGAAATGGAAATAAAAACATCTTAACCGATGGAAAATGATAAAATTAATGAGGTTTGAAATTTAAGAAACCAAAATCTATAGCATCTAAACCTTTAAGGTAAGAATAAACCATTGATGAATGTGTATAACTTATTTAATAACAACAATTAATTAAATTTTCTATTTATTAATATTCATAGTTTCATCTCAAAACTAATTGGTAATAAGAGCAATATTGTTAGGTTTCTTTATCTTTCCAATGTGATATCCTTAATACTATTTATGGTGAATTCAAAATTAGTTTTCATAATTTTTTCCTAAGATAATATTTCAAATATCAAACACTTTCCATATGTTTAAAAGCTTAACATTTCCATCGACATTGCAAACTGGGTAGAAAAAAAATATAAAAATTTCACATTTAATTTCTTTAGTATAACTAATTGAAGAGATCGACCGTAGCAACAATTTTTTTTTTTGAGAAAAAAAATCATTTGATTCAAGAGAGATGTATGTGAGATGAAAGCAAAACTATGAAAGCATACCTCCAAAGCCTTAAGCTTCCTTTCCATATCCGCTACATATTGAACCTTTTTCAGTCTGGATTTTTGAGCTGAGACACGATTCGACATTATTCTACAAAACAAAAAAAAAAAAATCCTAAATCAAAAGAAGAACCGAAAAGAAAAAATTATTAGGCAGGAAAAAGGGTTCAATTGTACCGTTCAACTCAAATTTGCTTTCTCGTTTGATAATCATTTCAGTTTTAGTTTTTTGTTTTAAAAAATTGTGTTTGTTTGTGTACAATTTTATTAGTAAGTTTTCATCCCTTTAAAAACATATTTCAATTCTAGCTAAATTTTAAGAAATAGAAAACTAAGATTTTGAAAACTATTCTTTTTTCTCCTTCAAAACTTGACCTAAGTTTTAAAAATGTTTATAAAAACTATAAAACAAAGTAACCCGCTTGATTTTTAAAAAAAGAAACGAAATAATTCTCAAACGAAATCTAAACTTTTGAAATAAAAAATAATATATATATATATATATATATATAGAAAAGTTAGAATGTAAAAAATTTTGTGCTTCGCTTGTTAGGGTTCACCGTTTGAGCTTTCTCGGATCCATGTTAGGGTCTGCGTTACGACCGTGCAAGATCTGGTCGGAATTCCCCCCATCGGTGGCGTTCCCCTTACCGTCACCGGAGCCTCCCGCGCCGATCCTGCCAAAAGGAGGCAAGGCATTATTACTCCGCTGCCCATCCGCCTTCGCCCCGCTGCTTGCTTCATCATCTTCCGCTGCGAAGGATCTCCGCCACACCGGAACCGAGTCGGAGACGGAAAAGGGAGCGGCGACGTTAATCGGCGAAGTAACAGTAACAGAACACAGCTCCATAATCTCCTGGAAGCTGCATGGATTGTTATTATTCTGCTGCAAGTTATAATCTTCCATGATCTGCAACAAGCCGAAGAATAAGAAGAATCGAAAACAAAATTGAACATGATGGCCAAGAATTAAGAGGAAGAAAAAAAGAAAAAAAGAAAAAAGTTGATTGAATTAAAGAAATGGAGTGGTTTGTGAAGAGTGTGAGTTTTGTAAATTCTTCGTACTTATCTGAATCCCACAGAAAAACCAAAGAGAGAGAGTTTTAATTTTGAACAAAAATGGAGGGTATGTAATATAAGGTGTTTGTCTGGCCCTCATTTATAAAGGGAAAATACACTAAACTTTACCATATATTCCGTAATTACTTTTATTGCTCATCAATTTCATATTCTATTTTAATTATCATATACATATACATGAACCCAATTATATATATCATTTCTAAAATCATATATATTTTTGTTTAAAACTATTTTGTATAAAAGTATACTTTTGATTTCTTGATTCTTACACTAATTCAACTGTGTTAAGTGAATTGATTAAGGTGTTAGAATGGAAATCTTTCTTTTCTTTTCGGTCTTTTTTTTCTAGAGTAATTTATTAGGGTAGAATTATATGTTTTGTCACAATATTGAAGATGTTAAATATATATAAATTTTTAACATGTTAGGATAAATGAAAAAAAAGGGAGAGAAAAGAAGAAAACGACGATCGCGATGACCGTTATGGGAAAATATTTTGTTATCATTAGACCGTTATGGGAAAATATTTTTTGCTATTATTATTATTTGATAAACGATGTATAAAAATTTGATATATGTTAATCATTGACGACGATTCGATGAATAAAATTCAGTCATTTTAAGGTATCCATCGTGAGACCTATATTTTAGCCCATACGTTTGTCAATAAATAATATGGTTTTGTTTATGTCATATTTTCAAACATTTTTTTTTTTGTTTGTTGAACAACTGTTTTAGTTAACATATATTCTTTTAATGACTAATTTAAATTATTTTCAAGGTTTTTTAAGGATTACAATGCTTTTTAAATATTTTTTGGGCATATAGAAAGTACAAAATACAAAATGTGTAACAACAAAAAAAAATATGTAATTATAAGTTATAATATAATATGATTTAATATACCACAATAATTAACAATTCCAATTTATTTTACAATCATAACATTAAATAATTTTTTAGAAAATTATCCTCAATTCTCACATTTGCTATACTAAAAAAAACTTTTAAAAAATTGTATTGAATACAATATTTTAATTCATAATTTTTAATTTTTAATTTTTAATCAATAAATTATTCAACTATGGAAAATAAAATAGGATGGTGAACGGCTTGTTTTATTTATGAAATAATTAAGCAAATTTTTACTTTTTAATTTTTAAGAATACATAAATACTCAAATTATTGGTGCATATATATCTAATTATTTGAAAAATATTTCTCTCTCTCTATATATATAAATAAAACATATGCAAAGTAAAAAATTAATTAAACATTGATGTTATTATATATATTAACATATGCACACACTAAAACGTTAAACATTGATCTTATTATATAAAGGTAAAAAGTATAATATGGTTTGAATGCTACATCCATGTGACAAAACCCACTTCTCAAGCTATAAACTTTAAAGCTTTTGAAAATTCTATTAATTTGCACAATTTAACTATATGGTACACAAGCACTCTTTTATCCAACTCGTCCTCCATTAAAATAAGAAATTTTCTTCTTCGCATTACTCTAGAAAGTATACCTAAATAAAAAGGGAAAAAAAATCAATTTTGACCTTATACGTCTGCATAGTTTTTAAAACGTTGGTAAAGCTTATGTCTGTCGACGATTCTAAAACATCGGTAGAACTATATGTCTGCCAATATTTCGAAAATGTGGGTTAAAAATAAGATATGTCGATGTTTTTAAAACGTAGGCAGAAGTAGGAACTTTGCCAAAGTTTTCTAGAAAAACATTGGCAGTGTACTCTCCCGAGCACTCTTGTCGAAATTTTTTTCGACGAATATTTATCCTTGGGGGAAATCACTCTCCAAGTTTTTTTTTTTTTTTTGGTATTTTCCCGACGTTTTAAAGCATTAGAAAAAGTTCAAAAGTTTGTTTAATTAAACTTAGCAAGATGTATCAATTTTTACGTCCACCAAAGAACCTGAAACTGGAATAAGTATTACAATTTATACCTTGTGATAAACTTCTAATTAAATTTTTGTAAAAAAATATCTTCACGTATATATGTTCAACGAATTACAATACACTAAAATCAAAATCTATACTAAAATTTGCAAGTTTTAGCGGATTTATTCAATCTTCAACCTCTTGTATAGTGCATAATAATTGAAACCATTGAGTTTTGGTCGATGTAAGGGTAAAATAGTAATTTAACACCAGTACAAATAGTAATTTAACACCCTACAAGTGTAGGGTTGAATTTTTGGTTGAGTTTGGGCGTGTGGTTTTATTGGGAGTGGGGATTGAAAAAGAGATGATAAGAAGAAGAGCTGTCAAAATTTGTGTGTATGCATTTGAATGCACGAGGAAGATGCTTAACAAAATTTGAAACCCAACTTTGGTATTTATAATCATCACAGTTGCACCCCATGCACGAGGGGATCCCCTTACCAACACACCACAACTCCCCCTTCTTCCCACCTTTCCTTTTTTTTTTTTGTTTTGGTGTTTGTATTTTTAATATTTGTTCACTGTCTATAACTGCTTTTGACTTTGATTCATTTTGGTATTTATGTATTGTCAAAAAGTCAATTTTAGTCCCTACTTTGGTTCATTTTCGTGACGTTTATTAAAAGTCACGGTTTCTCTTTCTTCGTGACGTTTCGTGATGGGGGTATGGATGACATCGTAAAAAATGTCATGGAAATTTTTCGTGATACTAGTGCATGTACTTTCAAAATGTCAACTTGTTGTCTCTGTACTTTTGGTTTTGGTTCATTTTGGTCCATGTACTTTCAAACCGTCTATTTTGATCCATTTACTTTTAACTTTTGTTTATTTTAAGTCTCTGAACATTCAAATTGGTTCCTATAACAAAAAAAAAGTAACCATTTTTTTATCCTATCATTTTCATTTCGATCTCAATTTTGTTGATCATAATTTACACATTACTAAATGTAGCAATAAATTTTGTACTAAAGGATATCTATTGTATATAAAATTTATGTTAAAATTTTAAAATTAAGATCAAATTGGTCATTTTTAAAAGCACGGTGATCAAATAGAGGTTTTGAAAGTATAATGATTAAAATAAATAAAAGTTGAAAGTACAAGAACAACGTTTTGAAAGTATAGGGACCAAAATGAATCAAACAAAAAAAAAAATATCAAAATAGTATTATTTTAATTCAATAGGAGTGGAAGTTTTGAACTTCTGATCTTTTAAGAGGTAAATAGTATCCGGACCAGTCGAATTACGCTAGTTGAAAATTATAATTAGCAACACTTATACCCACATTTAAAAAACTTAGATTAGATTGTAAATCATCAGTAGTTAACTTTGGTTTTTAAACTTCAAAATATTTTAATTATGAAACTTTAGAGTTTTGATTGTAATGTTTCATAGTCTCTCTGGTCATGATTCCCACAAAAGAGATAGTAGAAAAAGAGATATATATATTTTTAATATTTTAAAAAATTAAAAAGCTGTCATATTTTTATTTGGCAGCTAGTTCAAAGATAAGTACGATAACCACCTGAATATATATATCTTTTGACTCGGAGGCGGTATTGTTAGTTCCTTAGCAGTGGTTTTGAATAATTTTTTTTAGGAGTAGATTTGGTACCTGGTTTAGCCTTGGACCTCCCAGTTAGTTTTGGTTTTTGTTTCTTCTGTTTTTCTCTGTTTTCAGCTTTTGGAATTGTTTTTTTGTTCCTATTTGAGTCTGTCTATAATTTTTTTTACTTGTCTCAATTTCAAGCTGTGAAATTTTTTCTGTTGCAACATAAATCATATGATAAAAAAAAAAAACAATAAAAAAGAAAGTTATGACTTAGATACATTTTGGTGAAGTGACTAATATGGCATATAATTCAATTCAGTAGATAATGGGAATTGATTTCGTTTTCTCTCACTAATCTCATTCACAATTTTTCTTTTTAAAATTAATAATGTAAAAAAACATATATGAAAGATGATTTGATAATTGTTCATAATTATAAGGAAATAAATCAAAAGATATGAATGCGTATTCAAACCTACAACCTACAAACTCTTAGAGAAAGTACAAACGTCTTTTAACTACCGAGCGACATATTTGATATTAAAAAAAATTATCAAATGTGGTTTTATTATCAAAACAAATTTTTGGTTAAATTACAAATTTAGTCAACTAAGTTTTGAAGGTTATGCTTAATAGGATTTCTAAACTTTAAATATGTCTAATAAGTACGTAAACTTTCTATTTTGTATCTAATAAGTTGCAAAGTTTTTTATTTTGTGTTTAACAAGTCTCTTACTTAATCAACAATATTTTTAAAAAATACGTGGATCTATTGCACACCAAATTAAATTGTGTTAGTAGAACTATGACTTTTCAATTTGTGTTTTAAATATGTTTGTAAGTTTTTTTTTTTAAAAATACTTAGATCTATTAGGTATAAAATTGAAATTCAAATACGTATTAGACACTTTTAAAATTCAAAATTGACAGTTTATGAATTTATTAGACATTTTTTTTAAAGTACATTGACCTATTAAATATGACTCTAAAACTCTAAAGTTAAGTTCTAAACTTATAAATTAACCGTCAACTTGAATATAGTTAAACTGACTTCTATCTCCGATTAAATATTGTGAGTTTGAATTCTCACACCATATATTTTACTCGAAAGAAAAAAAAAATTTGTAAATTAACCAAAATACTCAATGATTTCAAATATCTTTTCAAAATTCTGAATTTTATGAGGGAATATTCATAGGCATGGTAGTTTGTAGATATTTAATGCTCATAAATTCTGAATGTCCAAATTTGGAAAAGAATCAAAGTGAGGTTTAAATTGACTTTTTAGTTTTCATTGTTTAAATTTGTTTTCGTTGTGCTTTTAAAAGTATATTGTCATCCCCATTATTTGATTATTAAAACTTAATAGACATCATAATTATCATTATTTGATTATTATTGTTATTATAATTATCGTTATCTACTTTTATCACATATTATAGAATTTTTAAGAGAGTGATATCCACACTGGCACAAATTTTAACTTACAAATAAAAATAAATAATTC